AGCAGCAGCCGAAGCACGCAGCGGCATCTGCGGTGTCATCCACAACGGCATCATCATATCGGCTCGTCCTCATACGCCAAAGGAGAAGCGTTCAGAACCACATATATGCTCAAAAGACACCGGAGCAGCAGCAAAAGCAGTAGCAACGGCCTCCGGCGTCCTAGTTTCGAGCCCTTGTAACGCGCAATACACGAAGTGTGTAGTTAAGGCGGAGAAGCAGCAGAAGATAGTAGCATTAAAAAGAGTACCTCTAAAGGGACATCTGTGCCCCCTGAAGTGATGATAGCGAGCTTCGCTTCCTTCAGTTCCTCCCTTTCTAGCAGCGGCCGCACGAACTGCCGCACGCGAAGTCCTGCAGTGGCAACGTTGGGGGGCGGCGGCTCCGAGGCGAAGAAGGAGTCAGCTGTTGAGGATTCCATGCGGCCCAAGGAACCGCGACGGCCACCGTGTGCAAATGCATCCGAGGCGCGCGTCGAGGAACGAGAGGGAGCAGCTCCCCGAGACCCGGCGCTGCCTTCCGCCATTTTGCTGTCGTCTCTGCTGTTGCTGCTCGGCTAGTCTGTTGCGCGGTAGCAGGAGCGGCCGCAAGGGGATTGTGTCCTCGAGTGGCGGGGGTGTCCTCCTATACAGAGCTATGAACTCCACTCGAGACCAGAGGGGCTTGCTACTGGCCCCTCGTTAGACGGAAGAAACCCTAAACTAACACCTTTGTACAACGCTCAATACAAAGAGAGTGCTTACTGAGGAGGCCTCAGGGAACAATCGGGGAAAGCGCTGCGGAGAGGCGCAAAAGGCAAAAAAACTCGGGAAGTTGCATCGGCCGTCAGAAGTGTTCAAGAGCCGATATNCGGAGAGGCGCAAAAGGCAAAAAAACTCGGGAAGTTGCATCGGCCGTCAGAAGTGTTCAAGAGCCGATATCCTACAGTGTGTGCACACTGTAATTTCCTCAAAGACAGGAAATTATATACTTTTGCAACCCAAAACAATAAACAACTTTCAGGCAAGCAGCTAACAATTATCGACGGACTGCTCGCGGAAGCTGCACGAGGCGGTGCTGCACACGGGGCGTTCTGAAGCCCCAATTCGTGTTTTCCCAAGAATTTTCACATAACTTTTTTTAAAGCATATATTAATTAATTATTTATGCATTTGGTATTTTGCAGAGCATCTAGCCCCTCGAGTATACTATGGAAGTAGCTAGGGAAGCTGAACTCTGGTAGGTATTCTGCCGTTTCATGTTCTTGCTCGAGTTGCATAAGCGAACATCTTCATCTTTGTTCTCCTTGGGATGTTTTCATATTCCTTCACTATAAGAAAGCGCCGCTCCCCTTCGGTAGTCGTTCCACTAGAAGTAGCATATTTCACGTTGTTAGGGAAACGGTAACCGATGAAGACACATGAGTCGCACTGTACAGACGAACGTCCGCTTATTATCCCCTACAGGCAGATTGTTTTCTGTATTGTTGTCTACGTTGACACACTGGGAACATCAGGAGGGTGGCTTTGTGTACTTTCCCCATAGCATTCCAAGCAGTCGGCTGCTACTGATCACTGTGCCCCGCTCGAGTTTGCTTTATTACGAACGGAATACACCCACTTGTTTCCTCTAATGTTCCCCGTCAGCTACATGGGGATGCAATCTACTTGAAATCGCGCATTAGCCGGAGCATAAACCCGCACCCTTATCTGCCTCTCCCCCTGGCAGTGGCCACGAAGGGACTACCCCACTACAACAGCTTCTGCAGTGCCCCTATAGTTGAACTAAGGCTGCAGCGTTCCCCGTAGTGTGAAACCCTGGGTTTGACCCCTAACGAGCGCATTCGCTGACGTAACAGCGCACCGCTGCAGATGCGTATTTCAGGTCTGGGTGAATCGAAACGCCTCGAATACACGGGGACTTGCGACAGTATTTAGCAAAAAGAAAATGTTGTGGATATCCTCAGCAGTATCCAGACAACTCAAGTGAGGAGTTCCTGCTGCGCTCCCGCTTACACTTGCCGATTGCTCTTGAGTCATCATGAAGATAGGTTTCTACCGGTGCCCTGTAGGAAAGCTGAACGATCTCTCCAGTTGAGTGTGCAGCTGCATTTGGTTTTTTTTCCCATGGCATCAGCTGTTCTGGTGCATGGTTTTCTGAACAAACTTACATTTTTGTAAACTAGAAGTCGAGACACCCGAGAGGCATTTGCGCTCTGCGGTTTATTCGGCTTGGGTTTAAGCCATGCGGTTGCTGGTGTGCGTCTGAGTTACTCTTGTTCCTTTGTTGCGTTTCTGTGTTTCTGATTTCGTTCGTCCAATTCATCAAACGTCCGCCGTTCTCCTCAAGAATGGTTTGCACTGCATCCTCTGGCGCGTGTAGCGTCGCTGCCGGGGCTCACGACCACGCCTTTGCTCAGGCCAACATCACAATAGCAATTCTGGCCGTAATTCTGTTCCTAACACTAATATTTGAAGTACGCTTGTGTCTCGAATAAGTCAAAAGAACGCTGAAAGTAAAGATTCCTTGCAGGTGGCTCATGAGGAACTTGTGGAATATCTGGAGCATCGTCACTTGCACCATGTGCTGAAGGTAGTGACGGCCATTACGAAGGAAGTGACAGTGCTTGGGTTTATTTCCCTTCTCCTTTTTTTCTCGACGCGCTTCGGCCTGACGATGGCCATCAATGACAAATTGCTGGGCCAGAGTTCTTTGGAGCGCATTGGCATAACGGAGCTGAAGGAAGAAAGCGGAAACCCCTACGCGGCTCCCACTGTTATATTTGAGCTATTTGAAAGCGCGCACATCATCGTATTCCTTTTGTTGGTGACCTTCACAGTCAGCATCCTCGTGCTGCTGACTCTGTCCGTCGCCAATACGACAGAATGGAGACGGTAAGCAACAGAAAGCACCGCTTCAGCGCACCGAAGGAATAACACCTCCCCCTGACAGGTACGACGATATGGGCGTCGCGGAGTTTCAGCAGCTCGTGAAGAGCAGACAGGCGTCGGACTCTGCCCTTCGCTTCTGGTACATTCGTTACCGCTTTATGAATCCATTAACGCCATTTGCGCCCCACCAAGAAGGTGAATTCAACTTTGGAGAGTTTCTGTCGGAACGCCTTTCTGAGACGCTTCTGCACATGGTGGAAATACCGATATCCACTTGGGCTTTGTTTATTCCCATTCTGCTTTCTTTGCGACCAGTCTTCGGCTTCAGTCCGAAGCCGCTGGTTGAATTCCTCGTTTTCGCTGCAGGGGCCCTCTTGTTTTTCAACCTCTTCATCTTCTGGAGACTCGAAACTGTCTTGAACTACCAAACCCCCAGCAGCAAAGAGATCGAGGAGTACCTCCGCAGCCTGGCCCAGCCGCGGACTTTGCCGGATGTGCCTGCAGCGCCAATTGAGTCGCTGCCTCCAGTAACGCGCAACGGGCCAATATGCACGCTGATCAGGGGCGCCAGGGTAATGAATGCGCAGGAGTCGTTGTTCGTGCTGGGGCCCAGAGGTATCCCTGCCCTGCGAACGTTAATTCAGCTTTCCCTGTCCCTCCATGTTGTTGCCATCACTGCCACTGCGAAGCTGCTGCTCTCCCCGCACTATCAGCATATCATGTTCGGGGTGTTGGGCTACTGGAGCGGCATCGCTCCTCTTTTGGTCCTCCTCCTCAGCATGGGACTTTTCCCTTCCATCGCAACCCACTTCACCATCGTCAGCAATCTCGGGTGCCTCGCCAGCCGCCAGGCCATCGCCGCCAGTGCCCAGCGCCTTCACTTGCAGCAGTTGGAGCGACATTTCCAAATTCTTCAGTTTCTGCGTTACAAGGCTGACACCTTCTTCGCCGCACACCCCGGCCGCGCACGCGATGAGATAGAGGAAGCCAGGCAGCTCTACGAAGCTCTGTCGCCAGAGACGCAAAAGGGCTACCAAGACATATTCCATGCTTTTGCTGAACTCGCCGAAGAGCCAAGAATCCCCCTAACGAACATTCATAAGATGATTGAGGCATTCGCACTCAGCGAAAGGATACCCGACTGCAAAGAGAAAGCTGGTCAGCTGCTGCGTGTGCTCCACTCGTTATCACTTTGGCTCCATAGACCCGCTATCTCGTTTAATTCTGTTTTTCACAATTCTGGTTCATGTCGCAAACACAGACGGATGGGTTGCTGCCCTTGACACCTCTGAGAGCCTCACGTTTCCCGCTTTCACCGCCGTATGTTTTTCGTTTCCCGACTTCCTCGTGTGCATATTTCATTGAATAAGTTTTAATGACACCTGCAGATGATCATGCATCTGCTCGAGGACGAGACAAGAGCTCTGGCACCCCCACATTTGAGAGAAGCATATAAACGGGTACAGCGCTCTCTCTCCTCTAAATTTCTTTCGTTCATTCGCATTTATTCGTTTTCAGGATCTTTTTGACTTCCTCGACGACGACGCCGACGGATATGTGACGGTGGTGAGGCAGTGGCTCGCCAAGACTGCCATCAGAATATGGTTGCGTGCATACCCGTGGGAGAACTTTTTGTTTGCGCACTATGCAGTACACACACCTGCACCTCTACATAATTTTTATGAACGAAATCCTCAGGACGACTTCATGGATAACCTCCGCGGACTGAGGCCAGCTGCCTCCGAAGAGGAAGTCAAACAACTCATAGCAGCCATCGCCCACGGTGTCCGAGGGGAATTGGTCAACTTCTACCAGCTGGCCTCCTGGATCGATGAAATCGAAGACAGAGCCAGAAACTTTCACCCGAAGGGATCCCCCACTCGCTAGCCCATACTATATATATATACGTATTGTATTGTATTGTATATGTATTGTATGCGGCCAGATATGGCCCTAACGTCCTGCTGTCTGTCTCTCCCTTACGTGTGTCTCCCCTCAAACCCCATAACCAACGAAACGTGCATTTCCCCCCCTCAGTATATAAAAACACGGGCACATTTACTTAACTGCAAAGCGGTGGAAGTCACCGAGTGACAGCCGCCAGTCTGAAACTGTTGAGATACCCCCATTCAAATGCTTGAAACCCAAGTTTTTTGGCGACGGGAGCACAAAACATATTTCATGCCCTCAGCCGCCGGCAAGAAGGCGAGAGGCCGCCGTCAGAGGCAAAGTAGCCGGTTGAGCTCTGCTGGGCTCTTCACCAACACTGCCATTCCGAAACAGCAAATCAAAAGACGAACAGAGGCCAAACTCTGTCTCTCAAAAGGTGCTGCTGTCGGCTGTTCAGACGCCCTGTGCACTTGCACTTAATAGCCAGTGCATGGCCTGGACAGCACCAGGAGGTCGAGCAATTTGCATGCAGGCGCTTCTTCTCTACGAATAGAGCGCTTTTCGCAGCCAGGAGACGTCTCCCAAGTGTCTCGGGTTTCTCCTGTGGTAGTAAAAGAGAACGCCAAAGAACAGCAGACAAATGCTACCGACAACCAGATAGGCTATGCCCAGGAAAGCGGTACGGCCGCCCAACCACGACGCCTGCGTCACCACTACGCTCTTTGAGCCTGCAGTGAAACAAAGAAACTGAACAGACTTCGTCAGACAAACCCACATAGTAGGCAAGCAACCCGCAGATAAATAGCACAAGTGCAATTTCGACGTAAACGGCTCAACGCCAACAAACGCAAAACGGCCAGACGCAAGCAAAGGTGAGCACGAAACAGTAAAGGCAAAACTTCAGAGGCGAAAACATACATAGATAACGCAAGCACAAGACGCTGGCGACTCGCACCCTCAACACTCCAACAGCACGCCTGCCAGCCAGTTCCACCCACTCCCCACCCCCACAGCTAGCATTTCACCGATACACAAAATAACTCAGTGTAAGAAAAGCAGGCAGTAGACAGACAGAGAGAGGCCCAAATCCTTCAATACGTGAATTTGTCCGAAGGAATTTACAGCACTGCACGCCCATGGCGTTACCTCTACATGTCAAGTTGCCGCTAATAAGGCAAATGACGCCCGCAAAAATCTAGAGGAGCAGCCAGACGCGCTGGCCCGGATTCTCATGGGGACGGAACAACTAACAGTGGCGTCAGAGTGAGTGGAACGGTGGGTGGTTTGGTGTAGAGGAGGAGAATAAGCCTCACCGCCGAAAGATTTGACGTCGTAGGTGTTGTTTGTGACTTTGATATAAAAAGGAAGCTTCAACGGGCTCTCCACGAACCGCGCATACACCTTGCGGAATACAGGCAACGGGGCCTCTCTCATCCAGACAATAAAATGTGAATTCTCCACTCCCCACCCAACACCTGCTCGCAACGCCGAACATGCACTAGCACTCGCTTCCTCCAGCTGCACAAGTGACTCTCTTTACCTCTTTCCGTCTGCGGATACGGCGAGCATACGACAGGCAGAAAAGGCTGCTGGGGTGGAGCGGGAAGGGCACGAGCTGCTGGGAGGCAAGCAGCGGCTGAGCGTGCATTACCAGGTTTATCCATGTGTAAGGCGGCGGCATATGTTTGGTTGAAAAGCCAAAAGTCAACCTGGGAAGCGGCTGCATCCATGTCCTCTTGGGAGGGGTTTTCGAACGTGGAAATATCCCACTCCCAGCAGATCGCTTCTCTTGATTCGTCGAGCTCAATCTCCGTCTTCTGGTCCTCGGCGACAGCCGAAAAGACGTCCGTAAATACCGCACCCGCACTCAAGCCGCACGGATGCAGCACACGCCCGTCAGAGGACTCCACACGCGGGTCGCATGATGTGCGTACGTCTGACGCTGCCGTGTACACCTTTCCCTAATTCCCCGCCAAACAGAAGACAGAAACAAAACTGTGCTGCTCCAGCCAGCGCTAATTGCACAGAGAACTTACACGAAGAAACTTGCACGCTTGATGGCGCGGAGCACTCAAACGGCACTAACAACAATCCTTCACAACCACTCAACGTGCACACATGGTGAAGGTGCAGGAAAGCAAATGCAGCACTTGCTGCTTGAATGAGGCACCAAGCAGGTCGATGCCCAAGGGAAAGCAAACTCACCTCCAGCTGTCTATCCGATCGCGACTTCATGAAGTGCCGATGATTCTGGAAGTAGTTAGACAATTCATAGTAGAGCAAAACGTCTCCCGTTATTTCTGTAATAGAAGTGTCTGTGCATGTGGACGCATCGATCTGCAACGAAGAACACAGCGCCGTTCGTTCAGGTCGTCGGTGTGACGCACGCATTGATTAATGTTTCCCATTTAACTTCTTAGAAGACTCGCGGGGTGTCCTTTATGCCTTTGGCCTCATGGTGGAGGAATGTTCGTTCTGCATTACCTTCAGGATCAGGTCGCCAACCATGTCTGTGTAGTTTACTTTACACTCCACAATAGCGTTGTTTACGAATAGGATGACGAACCCCAAAACCACAAAAATCATACCCACTCCAAAGAGCACAAATAAAATACGCCTCGGAGTAAGTAAAGGCTCCCAAGCCGACATCCTCTGCTGCATGAAGTCGTCAAGCGCGGCACGGGAGCAGCAGTAACATCGGCCGCAGCCGCAACTCCGTTTCATCCCATCGCTGCATCCCGAGCACTCTCGAGCAACTCTCTGTGCAGATGAGAACGCAGGCAAGGGTAGACACATCAGGCATAGATGGAATGCCGGACCATCACCCGTAAAGGAGAGCCGCACTACCGCCGGCAGCCTCCTCCACGACATCCACAAAAAAATTGGAATGTTGACCCCCAACGGCCAGCCACTATTTCCTAATTATATATTTGGGGCCACATACAGCTGTGCGGCCTCCTAATAGACCTCTTTGATATTGCTCACCGTGCGCGGGAACTCCTGGTCTGGGGGAGCTGATACATCAGGCGACTCTGCCTGGTCAACCTGTTCATCGTAACCCTGTTCTTCATGAGTAAGAGAGTCGTGGTGTACCAGGCTGGCAGCTGGTGTCACTCTTTGCCTGGGCATCCTTTATTGAGCAGCACGGATCGGACGACCGGCTGCTCCGGAACTGGTGACTCCCAGGGACTTAGCCCCTTCTGTGAGAATCAGCGCCCGCTAAGGAAAGTAAGGTGCTTTATCACGCAGAGTCACCTGGCTCCCTGCCAGTAAATTATCAATGCTCATCGAGTTCGTGTGCCCTCACGCTGGCTTGCAATGTCCCACATGGGTTGCGTACCCGTCGTAAGGCGCAGCTCCGGGACCCATCTAACTGGCGTTTTACTGGAATATATGATGCATTTTCAACTAACTCCCAATATTTTTTGTCGCTTTCCATCTATGTGATTGCTCAGAAAAAGCATTGGGACTGTGGCTGCATGTCCGCATGGCTTTGTCTCTCGAGTTCTCCCACAGGTTGCAGCAGCAATATGAACGGATTTACGCAAAAAAGATAGAGTTTCCTCTTATTATTTGACTTTTTATGTAGCAAGAAATGTGTGCGGAGGTAAGTGCCTCAGTGCTTCGCAGCTGCAACAATCTGCGTCGCCGCTCCGGACTGTCCACTCCACGATCGTCCGATTCCACTTTGTGATCGAAATGCTTCCTTACTTAAGCACTTTAGAAAACACATCCCAATAATATGCGGAAAAGCAAGTGCAATGTGCCCTTTTTGCCTTCTGTGGCCGCTCGCCTAGCGTCGTTTGTGTGGAGATGATATGTTTCTACTTGAGTGAAGGCTGGCCGCTGAGTCCCATGTAAGTGCTCAGCAGTCGTCTTTAGTGTTAAGTGCACGCATCAGTAGGACTTGGTCGAGCATCCGTATGGTGTTGAGTTGCGACACGAGTTGCAGCAGGATGCGCTGCAACTTGTGCCAGGCTACCCGCTCTCCCGGGGCCTCGGGCCCTTGGACCAAGGGTCCCAAGCTGCCTGGTGACCGCGAGAGGAGGCCAGCTTTTTTGTGGAAACGGTTAGCTCAAGTGTTTCGACTGTCAAGTGTATTGACCCGGTTCGACTGTGCAACCGTCTTACGGTAGGACCGAGGACCCGTCATTGCGTACCTTGAAGCGATTTACTTATGGACGCATTACACAGTTTTCAGACAATGCATGGGGCGGCCTCATCTGAGTACTTGTTTGTTCCTGCATTCCTACTGTCTTGAATCTAGTTCATGTGCTCAGATTGATGTGGGGGAACATGATGCCAGGCGCTCGTGAATCGCAGCACCGCACGACACTGCGCTTTGCGCATTGCTGAATGCAATTAAACTGACATGCGCAACTACGTTCTGACGTAGGGACGAAACTGTCACGTTTGGGTGCTATCACCAGGTCCTAAACAAGGCCTTCATGTTTGGACGCTATCACCAAGTCGTATTAAGCAAGTAACTGGAGGGAGGGGGTTGTCTAACAACAATAGTTTCGTACGCTGACTGTGTATCGCGTTCCTAAGAGATCTCCAACTAACTGCCGAATCCTGATTTGCTACTTTGGGGGGGCAGCGATCTACGTTTTCTTGTTAATGGATAGGTGTCCACGGTAACGGAAAACAGAAATCATTCACGGGCGCTTTCCAAACAGGAAGGGTTCGAAAGCTCAATCAGCGGAACATTTACAGGTCACGATTGGCCTTCAAGCGCAGAACGCGAGAGCGAACGCTAAGGAAGCTATCAGCCATTCTCTGGTTTGCCTGAGGGTTCGTATACTTGATATGGTGTCAAAGTTTTTTTCGGTCGTTGATTTAGCGTACTTCGGTATTGAATGCGCCTCCCATCATCTCAGCTATTGGGTCCGTCGCCAAGGATTTTTTGGCTTGTACCATTTCAGCTGCCTTTGGTTCTTTAGCGGTTTCTTCTACTTCTGTGGCGACTGCGTCAGCACTCTGAACGGAAGCTGCCTCGCTTGAAGTTTCCGCCTAATGCATTACTTTGTATTAAGCCAGCAAAATACTTTACAGGCGATGTCACCGCTACTTACTACGGCATCCGTTGCTCCGGTTATCTCGCTCATCTTGGCTGCGTCACTTTGGGGTGGAGCGGCCTCAGTCTGAATTGTACGTCACTTGTCCATTGGCTTGCATGTTTCTGGTGGGACGGCTTACTTCTGATTTCGCTAAGGTACTTCCATCTCCAGTTTCCTTGGGTGTTGATGCTCCTTGGCGCAGGCTGTCAGCTATTGGGTCATATTAGCAGTTGGAAGGCTGTACAATGTTTCCAACTGGGTTCGTACCAACTTCCTCTGCGGGCTTTCCCTAAAAATAAGACCATATTAATAAATGTTCATCGCCTTTGTTACATATGATGAGCCCTTACTTGTTCTCCAGCAAGAGAGGCGTCGTTGATGTCTGTAGCAGTAGTTCTAGAGGTCACAGCTTCGTGCAAAGGGACGGGTGGAACATAGCCATCGTCTTCCGCATTAGCACTGACGCAGAGCCAGGCGGCGAATACGAGACACGAGGTATAGCGTTTCATTTTCGAGTAATAGTTTGACGATCACTTCGTGAACCGTCCGCAGGAACAACTCTGGCTGGCATGCGACTGGCGAGACCACCGCGTGACCGTGCCATGTGTCCGTACACCACGAATCGACGACAGTCGTTTGCATCGGGCTGTCACTCGGCCCGCGCATTTTTTTATTACTCACTTTTTTGGAAGTACTGCGAAATTATGGCATTCTTGGCTCTAGTTTCAGTCCTGTGAACACGACGTCAAAAATCTGCGGTGGAGGATGGTGAGGCAGCTTCCTTGGCCCGAGACTCCGTGAATCTCGTCACACAGTTGGACGGCTCATCCTAAAGACAAAATCTGAACTGAAAGTGAAAATTGTGTCACATCCCATGCAAGCATTGATGAAGGCATGGAGGACATCGACGCGCCTCTTCGCGGTCCTGGCCGGCTGCGGACTGTCGCCCATCATGAGACTTCCCAGGAGAACGCAGGGAAAGACGAAATCACTAGTTCTCGCAATTTTAGTTCCCACATCTGCGGGCAAAAGTTAAATCCAACTTCGGAACTAGTTGTTCGGTTGACTTATCTCTANACTCCCCAATCTCTTGGAGCTCTGTCTTCCGCCACGCGTATTGCTCACGTTTTAACTTGTCCCATATGGGGTTTCATCATAGACTGCTGCGGACGCCGACGCATATTTTCGTCTTCAGCCCTCGGTTGGGGAGCCGGTGCTAGCGCTCTATTCTATATAACGCAAAAATGGCAGGCATTGCCTCTTATGTGCATCCTAGGAGTATTTATGGCTGTTATGGGCCCTCTTTCGCAGAAGGTGATAGCGCAGGAAGTCCCCGAGAACGACCGCGGCCGCAGCTTTGGAATCTTGCACTTTTTTCAATCCTTCGGCAGAGTCGTTTCTCTAACCATTACAACGTCCGTATCCGGACTAAGCATTTTGAGCATCAAAGGATGGAGGCATGCATTAGCCGGTTTCGGCTTAGCATCGATAATTCTTGGAATCATACTCGGATGTCGTGTCACAGACTGCCCTCACCAGCGCAAAAGGCAAAAAGAGCAGGGTCGCTGGTTCTCGCTCCGTGACACTGCATACGTCTTCTCAAATGGAAGTGTCTGGGTGATGCTTATCATGGTGAGCACGGAACTCCGAAAGCAAGTTGAACACTAGCTGCGTCCCCGATTCCATTGCTACGAAAGGCGGCGGGGTAGGACTCACCGCTCTTCGAGTAATTGAATCACCTGCGTAAATTCTGCTGTTTGTGCGCTCAGGGAGTGCTTAACGGAGTGCCTCGCTCTGCAATTCACTTTTCTACGATGTACTTNGCTGTTTGTGCGCTCAGGGAGTGCTTAACGGAGTGCCTCGCTCTGCAATTCACTTTTCTACGATGTACTTCCAGTACTGTGGCATTCCAGATTGGTGGGCTTCTTTTATCGTATCGTCCAGCTGGATTGCAGCAATGCTGGTGGCGCCGTTGATCGGGTATACAGGGGATCTTGTACATTCACGATACCCTAATCATGGTCGGCAATGCTTGGCGCAGGTGTGCATAGTCGTGCGGTGCATCCTCATGACAGTCATGCTGACGTGCGTCCCGAGAGAAGCGCATTCTATTGGGATATTTGTCTTGCTGGCCGTCTTAATTGGCTTTTTGGCCGGCTGGCCTGGAGTTGGCGTCAACCGTCCAATCCTCACGGAAATAGTTAATCCAGAACATCGTGCCACGACATTTGCGCTGGTGAGGAGTGAAACTGTGCCCTATAGGACTGACACTGTACCGAAGAGTGGAGCCCTCAATCAACCAGAATAGCTGATGAGATTATTCATGAAACGCGTGTTGTACGTTGCCGATGAATCCTCCTTTGTACCGGAATGTCCGTCGGTCCCGTCCCAAAGTTCGCGACTGCAGAGCAGTATCTAATCAAAATTTGTGGATTTACGGATGATTCCTGCAGGTTTCATGCCTTGAGGGTGTCGGAGCTGCTGCGCTGGGAGCTCCTATAGTTGGCTTTTTGTGCGAGAACGTCTTTGGCTATGTCAAGATGACGTCGACGGGGCCTCTCAAGACACCATCTGCGGCGCTGCGACTCGGCAACGCCCGTGCCATAGCCTTATCTATGCTTTGCATGACTGTTGGGCCTTGGCTACTCACTCTGGTGGCCTACGGATTCCTCCACCTGACTTACAAAATTGACAGTCGCCACGGTTCGGAATCTGCAGGTATGCAGTAGTTGACTGTACCCTTCTGCATTTGCTTGCCCTTCAGTACCCTTCACGAAGAGCCTCATTCAATGCTTTTGTGTCATTATAAGTGCAGGAGTTCTGTGATTTTTCTGTGTGTTTGCAGCACGAGACGACGGACCTTCTCCCCTGTTACGGGAGGTCCAGGTTGGCGAAACGCCTCCCCTGGTATCCAAATGACGTGGCCGAACTGACTGGCCTCAGCGAGCACAGCAGTTGCAGCCAAAGCAGCACAGAATCTTTTGCACTCGGTCAACA